GTTAAGGTTTAGGGATTAGGATTTGGGGTTTAGGGATTAGGGTCTAGAGATTAGGGTTTAGGGTTTAGAGATTAGGGTTCAGGGTATGTGGCTAAATTCAGGCATAGCAGGTCAACGGGGGATCTCAGAAGAAGCACAGTCGTCCTCGTATACATTATCAACAGCGGCTTCTTTACAGCATCCCTCTATACATTTGGGTCCTGAAAACCAGTAAAGAATAAACAGCTGTTCCTTACCCGTGTTGCTCATATGAACTATAATCTAAACCCCTAGCATCCCCCCTAATAACCCCCATACTAGCCCCATAAATAATCCCCTATATAACTCCCTTCAAGGAGTTAAGACTGTAGCCTATTGCTCACGTGAAATTCTTTTGCCAAGTATCCTTCATAGGGAGCCCCAGAACTTTTGCACTTCAGAGCACTTATACACTGTCCTTCTTTGCAAACAAGGAAGGTTTTGGGTTTAGGATTTTAGGGCTTAGGGTCCTCAAATTACAAGGCCCTCATGGGGATTACGCATTCATTACGGGGGATCCGCATGATGAACAAATGTCGAAGGTGATTTTGAACAACTCCAACAAGTCATCCTTCAGCCCTTGCACGTGGGATTCTTCAGTGAAGGACCTATTCTTCCCCCATTTCTCTCTCCACCGCCTTCTTCCAACCCCAAGACGCGAACATGAGGCGTACCATCCATACCCTACACCCCCAACCCGTGCTGCGATGAAGCCTCAGGTTTAGGGTTTAGGGCTGTTCCAAGATCCTGTTTCCAATCTGAATCCCTGGGGCGAGTACCAAGACTGTCAAGGAAAGTGGGGGAATGAATGTTGGGACTATGAAAGGGGTATATATGGGGAATACTTGTATAGGGATTATCAGAAGGATCCACCCCACCACCCTCCTTTAATTACCTATAAAGTATGCACCAGTACATTAAGTTTCCCCAGAAATGGAATTTCGGGAGGGTGGTCGCCCCTGAACGTACTACCACCATCCCTGTAAAACCCCCTAAGAATCCCCCTTCATTGAAATCACTTGGATACAACTAATCCTAACTAAGGGGGGGGGGGG